CGCCCCCAGGCAGTCAGCGGTACGGTCCAGTCAGTCCCAGTCCAGTCCATCAAGTACGATGAGGGACTGTGTGTACCATGGGACGATGGAAAGGGGCAGACCAACGGGTTACAGAAGTATAAATCAAGAGGCAGCGCACAGCCATTCATTCATTCCTGCAGAAGCCATGCGGAAGCGCTGCCACGGTGACTTGTGCGAGGTGGTCTGCAGAGGAGCCCGAAGTCGAAGTGGGCTAGAGGGAGTTAGCGCAGCCATAGCTGCTTGTAGAGTAGAGTTAGCTGGCGACCATAGCTGCCATAGTTAGTAATAGGTGTGCATTCGTGTGTGTGCAGAGTGTGTGCGTGGGGTATCCAGGGTGATCCAGAGTTGAAGTGTGAAGTGAACAGTGGTGTTGGACACAGTGACGAGAGTTGCGATGTGTGGGTGCTGATGCACCATAGCCTGTTGAAGCGAGCTTGCATCTGAACTGTGTCTTGGTTTCCATATCTTCGAGCTTTGAGTTGGGCGCTAGGCGCCAGTGTGATTCACCATCTGTTTGTATGCATGTGAAGTGACGAAGTATGCGAGTCTGATTGCATACTGGAAAAAAACGGGTTCTTCTCACGCAGACACACCCACAACGTGCGATGATAACCATCACTCGGTTTTGAAAATAAGTTCATGGTGGGGGTAAACCTGCGAGATCCAAGATCCCAGGGACCGCCCACCACCTTGGCGAACCTGGCCAAGGAGCCGAAGAAGAAGAAGAAGAGCATTATCATTGGTCTATGGTGGTGTACGTCATCTTCTTCTTCGTTCTTTCCTTCTTTCTTTCTTTCTCTCTTTCTTTCTTTCTTTCTTTCTTTCTTTTCTTTCTTCTTCTTCTTCTTGTTCTTCTTCTTCTTTCCCTCTCTCTCCTCTCAAGTTCATTCATTTCTTTTTGCAAGTGGATGGCATTGCACTTTCTGATGAATGTGTGTACTTGGCCAGGATCATAACATATGTCAATATATAATTGTTTAAGGTAAAAGATCATATGTATTTCCGAGCTCTTGCTCTTGCTCTTCGGTTATATCATTGATTTGAGCCTCATGAATTTATGTGTGATCACTGATTTAAATCATTTAACGGTGCGGGTTACAGCTGGATCAGAACAAAACAGCTGCGGAAATTGCGAGATGGTTAATCGAAGGCCCAGAATTCGGGGTTTTACGCTGCATCACCACAAACAATGTCGTCAATTTTTTTGCGAATAAACAATGCAGGCTCATAATACGAAGTTTACAAACAGGAAAAAAACAAACTCAGAAGCACTGTAAAACCGTACTCGGAGTAGCTTTTGGAGCTCGCCAAAGTATTCTCCGAATTCGGTGTTTTTGCTGACTTTTTCGTTACTGGTCCAAATACGTCGAAACCAAATACAGATATACCCTAAAGCACATACATATCACACCAAAAAAAAAACGAAAATTCAGGGAAATATGCTAGTTTCGGTGAAAATTTCACCCGAAATGACATCATTTATTAACCATTAGTGCGAATAGTACCACACTACCATCAGTTTAACGCATATTCACACTCTCTTGACGGAGCCATGCCCTAACTATGGTAACATACAACCACAGATGTCTGAATATGAGTGTGCGTACTGGAGACCTTCCGTGCAGGTGTGCTGTTTCATGTTAGCGCAGTTGGAAATGATATAAGACAGGGTGTGATTCTCGACTTCTAGACCTGTCAGTCATTAGTTTTTTCCCCATTTTTTTGAACCGCTAGTGCATGGCCCCAGCCTTGTGGAGATTTTGCTCGTCCCCAACTCCGCAAATATCGGGTCTCCAGAAAGGCCCAGTTGAGCAAAAGGGGAGAAATCCGATGGGCCCAAGGGGCAAATGGACTGCGAAATGTCCTGCTGGTTTATCCCGCGCAGATGTTTCTACGTGCACGACTGGAACAATCCATTCCTTAGTATGCCCTTTCTTTTGTTTTGTTTATCTTTTTTTCTCATAGGAAAGAAGAATCTCGGCTATTTCTGATGTGACTCCCTGTGAGAGGCGGGGAGCAATCGATTCCCTGTCAGGCCCTTCCGTTTCAGGGTGTTTTCACGTCTTCACCCGAATAGAATGCCCGGTCATTATCGCTGTATGTAGACTGAAAATTGCACCAAATACGGCTATAATGACTGGGTTTTCTATTCGGGTGAAGACAGTAGCACTTTCCTGAACGTATCTGACTGCGATTACGGCCAGGCCTGGGCGGCAAATGAGTGGAAACTAGAAAACGTCGGCCTCCTTTTTGTTCCATCTGCTGGCAGCAGGTCCAGCACAGAGGGTGGTAAGCGTACAACCCTGAATTTTCCCCGTGTCAGTGCCTGTTGCGTCCAGGCTTGGCAAAATTCAGATTTAGGCTCGTACATTTAGCCACGGATGTACTGGTGGTTTAGTAGTATTTCCAAAAAAAAAAAAAAGAACTAATCTATATTCTTTTGAAACGGTATTCACCAGTTCGCAGTAGCTGATGCAGATCCCAGGGCTCGATCCTAGTTCCCCATCTTACCTGTGTACAGTACGAGTGTCAACCCGTAGATTTGAACCTGCGACCTGTAGGACCGCCAGTGGTAGGTAGGATCTCGTAGGTCACAGGGTAGAAGGGATTCGAACAGTAGACCTATTGAGTAGGAGTCTAGGCAGTTCAGAGGTCGTAACTGTAGACTGCCTGAAGGGTCAAGGTCGTAGCTGCTACTTACCTGAAAGGGCAAAGTCGTAGCTGCTACAGTACCGAAAGGCCAAGACAGAGAGTTCTAGAAGTGGCCTTTCGGAGTCAGCCTACGTTAGGCAGAGGCAAGTGGTCAAGTGGTGGTAGTCCACCTCGTACAGTCAGCAGTCCCAGTCTACCCAGTCCGGTCCAGTCAAGCAAGTACCGTCTGGGACTGTGCACATCGTGGGCCAAGGGGTACAGGGCAGACCAACGCTTCACAGAAGTATAAATCAAGAGGCKGCGCCCAGCCATTCATTCATTCATGCGGAAGCCATGCGGAAGCGCTGCTTCAGCGTCTTGTGCAAGGAGGTCTGCTGGAGGCCCGAAGACGAAGTGGGCGAGAGTGAAGCAGGGTAGCCATAGCGATAGGTAGYGGCAGCCATAGCTGYCATAGCTTAGTATAGAGTGCAGCGTGTGTGTAGTGTGTGAGTGTTCAGAGTGATGTGCGCGGGACATCCAGGGTGATCCAGAGTGTGAACAGTGAGTTGATTGGGCGCACAGCCGCCATAGCCAATTACWARAGAACTCTTATCTGGTTGCGATATCTCTGAGTACTGTGTGGGCGCATGTTGCCAGTTTGCTGTATCGCTGTTTACATGCATGAAGAGTGTGTTTGAGTCAAGTCTGATTGCACTGGTATCGGAGCTGGTACCCGCTGTTCCACGCGCCGTCGTGTGCAGGGCCGATGCGCCATAGCTGAGGTGGCGACTGAAGGAGACAGTCCGCCATAGCGGACCTTGGGTTGAAGAAGCC